CAGGGGAGGCCTAAGTCCATCTTGGGTCCTTGTGTAAGTTCAACCTTCCTCGAGTTCTTTCTGACCCTGGACCAGCAAGTTCTTTCTGATTCCTTTGTCCGCGGGCAGAGGGGGATCTGAAGTGGGTTACCGCCTTTGCCCTGGGCAGCCCGGCCCGGAGGGTCTCACCTGAGTGTGCCCTGGATGGAAATTGGGTGCCATGGGCTCTCTCCTGACTACCTTGGTCGGATGACTGGAGGCGGCCAATCCTGGAAGCGTTTCTACGCTGCAACAGTGTGGGTATCCAATCACGGTCCTCCCAACTGCCATAGTCCCTCCTGCCATGGTGATGACTTCATCTCCACCAACCCTGGTCTGGTGACAATGGCCCTCGTTTTCCAAGCCCTATCAAGTGACCGTGACATCATTACGGTCTCCCTGGTGGCATGTTTGTCTTTGTTTTGTCCTTGTCCACTTTAAGATTTAATACATGGGTCTCTATAAATTATATTTGAATTCGGGATCTCTTATCTCCCTTGGGAGCCCTGGCGACCAGCAGCTCCGAGGGAGAAAGACTGGGCTTTCTACTCCCAGCAACAGACAGTCTCGGGAACTCACAGGGGCCGGCAGTCCTCGGCATGTCCTACAGAGTCGCTGTGTCAGATCGACTCGATGGCCGTGTCCCCCGCCTCCAGGTAGCTTGCTCTCTACCCGTCGGAATCGACTCCGTGGCAGTGGCTTGCTTTCTTTTGTTCCAGGCACAGGGGACAGTTCTTACCAGTGACTAGCAAGAGCCCTGGTGGAGCGCCGGCTACAGTGTTCACTGCTAACTCAGAGCTCCTCTGTGCAAACCTGCGAGAGGACTCACGGGAGAAAGATGGAGCAGTCTGCTTCTGTACGGATGAAGCCCCAAAGCCCCTGCTGTCGAACCAACGCCAACCCCTACCAGCCCGTGAGATGGAGCAGCCATGTCCCGGTCACCTCCCAAGTCTGTGATCCCCATGGGAGCAGGCTGCCACACCTTTCCTGCAAAGTGGTTCGTGGATTCGAACCGCCAGCCTCCCAGCAGCTGGGCACTTTAAACACCCTCCGCCAGGGCCCACTCTGTCCTGCGGGGTCGCTGCAAGCTGGGGTGCATGTAGCAGCAGGGGTTCCTTGGCTTTAAAAGCAGGGCAGAATCTCCTCTGCAATGCTTCATGGCCTGAGGCCCCGCCGGGCTGTTAAGTATCTAGAAAAGAACATTACCTCTTTAGTGGGAAGTTATCATCATCTGAAGGCGATGTTTCCATTAAAATGATCCCCCAAGTACATAGAAATACATATATTGGACAATAAAAGCACAAACGGACCTGAATTAATTTTAAATAGTCAAATAAATTCCACAATAGGCACGGCAGTGCTGTGCGCTGTGAGTTGCGCATTTGTTTGTGGTTATTATTATTATTGTTGTTTTTTTAAAGCCACTGAGATCTAACAACTTTCCCGATAAACAGGTGACATCGGTGACAAAGAGAGAGCACAAATGGGGACTTGCAGGGCCTTCTGGGAAAGCGCAAGGCCGTGAGTTGCGCATTTGTTTGTGGTTATTATTATTATTGTTGTTTTTTTAAAGCCACTGAGATCTAACAACTTTCCCGATAAACAGGTGACATCGGTGACAAAGAGAGAGCACAAATGGGGACTTGCAGGGCCTTCTGGGAAAGCGCAAGGCCGTTTTCCTTCTTAGCACCGGCGACTGCAGCGTCGTTCCCAAGGAAAGGTCCCGGGGCAGGGTAGTACGTGCCAGGATGGTGACTCTTACTTCCTTTGCTTGTTGCTATTCATGTAAAAGAGACACATGTAATGTGAACTGAAAGAGAATCAATGCATTTGGATTGTGCTGCTGGCCAGGAATATCGAAAGGCTCATAGACTGCTAAAGGGACAAACCTATCTGCCCTGGGAGAAGAAAGGCCAGAGTGCTCCTCAGAGGCAAGGATGGCAAGACTTCATCTCACATACTTTAGGCATGTGGGCAGCAGAGGCCAGTCCCTAGAGCAGGACATCACGTTGGGTAAAGTAGAGGGGCTGCGAAGAGAGGGAGGCTCTCAGCGGATGGATGGATTGATACAGTGTCTGCATCAATGGGCTCCGTCCGGCATGGGCACAGTGGTGAGGATGGTGCAGGACCAGGCAGTGCTTTGTTCTGCTGGGCATCAGGTCGCGATGGGTCAGAATCAGCTCCAGGGCAATTTGAAACAGCAGCAGGTCAGCACACCACCTCTCTTCCTTCTGTCTGTCCTGCTGTAGGGATGTGCATGTTGCTGTGATGTCCAAAGCTATGGCTCCTGTATCCTCACACCATCGAGGTCACCCGTTGTGTCAGTCTGGGCTGCCTAGCGAAACAAATCCAGAGACACACATATGTGTGTAATAGAGAACTTTGTATCAAAAAGTAATGGTATATTAAGAAAACATCCCAGCCCAGTCCAGTTCAAGTCCATGAGTCCGTTATTAGCCCATATGTCCAATACCAGGCTATAAATTCCTCTTCAGACTCATACAACACATGTAATAACGCCAAATGCAGGAAGATCACAGGCCAGTGGGTGGGACGTCTTGTGGATCCAGTGGTGGTGGAAGCATCTCAGCACTGGCAGGGGTCTCCACGTGGCTCCTCCAGCTCAAGGGCTCTGGCTGCATCAGCATAGCTCCATGTGGCTTGTCAACAGGAATATGTAGCTGAGAGAGCATGTCTGGCCTCCAGTGAGCTATTTATCTCCGTGTGCCTCCAAATGAGGACATCAAGCTGCAACCTGATTGCCAGGCTAGACTCCACCCCTTCGCGAGTTGACAGGAGATTACGTAACTGCCACACCCATGCGTCAGACAAAGATGTGGTGCAGATTTCCATGGAGCTCCCAGACTAAGGCAGACTGGGAAGCAGGAAGCGCTGGACCCCTTCTGAACAGTTAGTCTCTGGACACCTGGGGAGCAGCAGCAGATCACCGTCTGGCGGAGCGCTGGTCGGTGAGCCCCCGAGGTTTGAGAAGATAATCCATCACATGAAAGGGAGCACGAAAAGGGACAGAAAACTCAAAACCAAATATTTCCACGTGAAGGCATGCCCTTCACAAACAGAGACTGGTGGCCAAGCCATCAGGTTAGACGAGCCACCTGTAAGGTGACCGGGCTCAGACTTTTCCTCACTCACTCCTCTCACTGCCCTGGGGTCGATGCTGACTCACAGCAACCCTACAGGACAGGGCAGAACTGCCCCTGTGGGTTTCTGAGACTGTAACTCTTCGTGGGAGTAGAAAACCTCACCCTGTTCCCACCACGGGCACATGCAGGGGCAATAACGTAACGACTACCACATGCAAAGGGGAAGACGGGGGCAGCCATGATATCTTGGGGGCTGAAGACCTGTTCCTTTGACCACGATGGGGTAACTGCGATCAGATATACCCTCCAGCTTTTTAAAAAATTTAAATGAATTTATTTATTTATTAAGTCATTTTATTGGGGGCTCATACAACTCTTATCACAATCCATCCATCCATTGTGTCAAGCACATTTGTACATCTGTTGCTATCATCATTCTCAAGACATTTGCTTTCTACTTGAGCCCTTGATATCAGCTCCTCATTCTATCCCCTCCTCGCCCCCCTTGAACCTTTGATAATTTATAAGTTATTATTTTGTCATATCTTACAGTGTTCGACTTCTCCCTTCACCCACTTTTCTGTTGTCTGTCCCTCAGTGAGGGGGTTATATGTAGATCCTTTTAATCGGTTCCCCCTTTCTACCCCACTTTCCCTTCACCCTCCCAGTATTGCCACTCCCAACACTGGTCCTGAGGTGTTCATCTGTCCTGGATTCCCTGTGTTTCCAGCTCTTATCTGTACCAGTGTACATCCTCTGGTCTAGCCTGATTTGTAAGGTAGAATTAGGATCATGATAGTGGGGGCGGGGTGGGGAGGAAGAATTTAAGAACTAGAGGAAAGTTGTATGTTTCATTGTTGCTACACTGCACCCTGACTGGCTGGTCTCCTCCCCGAGACCCTTCTGTAAGGGGATGTACAGTTGCTACAGATGGGCTGTGGTTCCCCACTCCGCACTCCCCCTCATTCACAATGATATGACAACCCTTTCACAGGGGTTTCCTATGGTCTCAGGAACCGAGACGCTTCTCCTCTATCTGTGTCCAGGCGGGTTGGCCCACATGCAGATATGCCCACATATGGGGTCACCACAACATGAGGAACTGTATTGAAGGGTCGCGGCATTAGGAAGGTTAAGGACCACTGCCCTAGACAGAGAGACAGCTATGGCTTCCCAATACGTGGCATCAGTCAGCACAGGTCCGTAAAGCCTCAGAGACTCGGCAGAGATCAGGCTCAGAATTACCCCAAAGGGTCCTCAAGGAGGGGACTTCCAGGCCACAGTGCAACACCACCCCCCAAACAAAGACAAAAACAAATTCACTACCACCGAGTCAGTTCAGACTCACAGTGACCCCATAGGGCAGAGTTGACCTGCTCCACTGGGTTTCTGAGACGGTGGCTCCCCCCATGGGCACAGACAGCCTCGTGCTGCGCCTGAGGAGCCCCTGGTGCATTTGAACTGCTGACCCATTGGTTAGCAGCCCAGGCTCCCTTTATCTCAGAAAGCGCTGTGTCAAGCCTCTAGCCAGGGAAGCAGTCCTTGAAAAAGTGGACCTTGAGCTGTCGGCTGCTAGAATCAACCACGCTAGGGACCGATTCTTCACACACTCTCTCTCTATTTTTTAATGGGAATCTCAGACCTGTCCTGACTTGGCAGGTTGAACTGGCATCCATGAGACCTGGCCGGGTCGTCATAAATTAATCAGGTAATTGAGGAAGTCCTTGGGAACACCAAGCCTCCTGCCGTTGGCCGTCACCATAGCAACCCTCGGTTGAGACTAAAGTTCAGCAGCCATAAATCCCTCTGACCCTGTTCATAGTTCAGTACTCATTAGCATACCCCTTCCCGGGAAAGACTCGTTTTTCTGTTTCCCAGACTTCTTTTCTGTTGACTGGACTCCAAAGGAGAAGTTCCCCAATCGTTTTTGAGGATCCTTATTTCTTCCCTCCCCTTGTGAGCGCCCTTTCCCGAGAAGATGCCCACAAAGAAGAAAACGCTGATGTTCTTAGCCGGCTTCTGCACCAGCCTGGGGTCCTTTGTGGTCCTTTGCACCGTCCTGGGGAGGCAGAACTGGGTGAGCAGCACAATCCCCATCAGCGACATCTTCTCCAACGGCACTGTGGTCATTGTGTACGGGCTCTTCCGAGGGACGAGCACTCAGAGGTTGGATCTCGGACTCGAAGAGTCAGACAAATACTTCGAAGGTAAACGATCAGATCATTTGGAAGGCTGGATGGGCTGGGTGATGCTGGGAATACAGATTCGTATCTGGGTCATGCCACCATACAACCAGGCCTTTCTTGTGTGCTTTCAGTTAGACGAGGAGCCCTGGTGGCGTAGTGGTTCTGAGTTGGGCTGTGATCTGCATGGTTGGCAGTTCGAAACCACCAGCAGCTCCTGGGGAGAAAGACTGGGCTTTCTACTCCCGCCAACAGTGACAGTCTCAGAAACCCACAGGGGGTCGCTGTGAGTCAGCATGGACTCGATGGCACTGAGTTAGTTCCAGCAGACTGGTGACGGGACCATACTTGCTTAGCTTTGGACACTGGTTCTGCCACCCACCACCCTGCTTCCTCTGTTCCTGTTTGGTCTATAGGTATACCCAACCGTCTGAATAATCTTAACAGTGGCCTTGCTTAACCATTATCTACCACATCCGCTGTGAGTCGACTCTACCCACCTCCCAGCCTCCCGCAGAGGAGACGGCTTGACGCAGGGGTGACAACAATGGCTCAAACAAAGCGGCAGCAGTGAGGGTGGCGTGGCACGGGCCGGCGTCAAGTTCTCTCATCCATAGTGGGTTAGGCCCCACTGAGGGCACCTAGCAATGGTACCACCTAGGGGACATGGGAGCCAGGCTCTCCTGCCTACAGCGCAGGTTCATTCCTTTCACCAGTTTAGATTGGCTTCCTGCTATCCAAAGTACCTCGTTGTTGGAATGATGTCGTATTGTCATGAATTCTGCTAGTTGTTCATTTTCTATGAACTTATTGATTCCCTGATTTCTTATATGATAATGCCACGCCCTCCCTTGGCTGGAAAAAAAAAGGTATGAGGAGTGATGGCTTCATTTAGCAATCCACTTTTTTTTTGATAGTTGAGTATATGTCTTTTTTTTAAGTTTTAAAAACAGCTCATCAGTTATTTAAAATTTACATGTGAATCACCTGGTGTCCAAGACTTCATAGGAGGGAGCAGGCCGTGTCCAGTGAGCTCTGCAGTGGGCAGGTGTGGCCCGGGATTTGCCATTGTTGTCAGGTGTCATGGAGCTGATCCCTGCTCCTCGTGGTCCTGTCCGTGGACCACTGGAGCAAGCCTGCCCGGCCCTCCCAGTCACTGCCACCTTGGAGCCCACAGCTGTGACTTCTGTGGGACAGACATGGGGCTTCAGCTCCTGTGGACAGTTACAGTCTGGGAAACTCGCAGGGGTGGCTCTGCCCTGCCCCGTGGGGTGGCTCAGAGCCGCAAGGACTGATGGGAGGGAGGGAGGGAGGGAGGGGGTTGTAGCTCCTGTGCTTCTCCCTCTCCTGGGGGGTCTTCCTCTCTCGCTGGCCCCTCTTTTACCAAGACTGATGTCCTTCCCTGGGTTCTGGTCCCTCTGGATGGCATGGCGAAAATTCAGGGGAGAAAGTCTCACCACCTTTGCTTCTAAGGTGTGTTCTGGCCGTACTGACTACAGGGTTACCTCCCCCTCCCCACGACCACAAATACCACCCCAACTCGCTACCACTGAATCCATGCTGGCTCAGCAGCCCTCTGAGGGTCTCCAGGGCAGTGGCTGTTGGTGGGAGAAGCAAGTCCCCTTTCCCCTTCGGGGTTGCTGGTGTTTAGATTGCAGCCCAACAAATAACCCCTATACCACCAGGGCTCCTGACCGCAGGGTGAGACGGGCATTATTAAGTCCTGTGCAGCCCCTGGGGGCCGGGCTGGTGAGCATGGCTCACGCGTCCAACGGGGAAACCAGCAGATAGGCTGTTATAGCCGGCCCAGAGACACAAGGGAAGCCCTGCTGGTCTACCTGTGCAAAGTTAGCCCTTGACAACACTGGGGTGGGGTGGAGGGGCGGGGGTGGGGGCGTACTTCTACTCTGACTCACTGGAAGTCACCCTGAGTCAGAGTTCACTCGATGGTCTGGCTGCTCTGCCATTGGCTGTGCGGTCATCATCTGCTACCAGGTCCGAGTGGATGACGTCGCCCTGGGTCAAGGGACAGGGAGGAGTCCTGGAACCCCAGTGGCTTCCTTTCAGCCCGGACACCATAGGGCAGCTCCCTGGCAGGAAGCGGCCGACGGCCTCAGAAGGATGTCCCGCCTTGCAAACCCACCGGACAGTCTCCGCGGGCTCCCTATGCGTCTGAATTGACTATAGGTGATGGTTGTGGGATAAAGGGCCTGCCTTTAGGCAGAGGGTTAAGGCCTAGACCCCCCTCTGGGTTTATAGCTTGTTCGTGGTTTTGTGAATGAAGGGAGTTCTTTAAATCCGCTACAATGTGGTTGCTTGTTTTCCCCAAGAGATGGCTCTGCCGGGGAGGCATTTAGCCAAAGGAACGTCTGCTGGGCGCTTGATCTGCCTGACATCTGCTCAGAGCCTGCTGGTGCTGCTGTTGTCGGGGCTGCGAGTGACTCAGAGTGGCAGAGAACGTTCTGGCCCTCGGAGCCCTCGTGGGACCAGGTAGCGCTGCCTGTGTGCTAAACTGTCATCGTCATGGAAGCAGGAGGCCCCATCTTCCTCCCACGGGTCTGCGCTGCCATCATTTTGGCGAGCAGCTGAGCGCTTGACCACTACACCCGGAGCTTAGGAAAACCCCACAGTCAACATCACTGCCAGCGAGTCGATTCTGGGCCAAGGACACTATAGGGCAGAGCCGAGCTGCCGCCCAGGGGTCCGAAGCTCCATCTTTAAGGATTCGGATGGCCACACCTTTCACCTGCAGAATGTCTGGTGGGGCTGAACCTCTTACCTCTCGATCGGCAGCCCAGAGCTGAGCCACCGAGCCACCGTCTCAGCACCTCTAACACCCCAAACCCACTGCCACGGAGTCGAGTCTAGCTCACAGCACCCTCTTGGACAGGGGAGAACTGCCCTGTGGGTTTCCAGACTTTAACTCTTTATGGGAGCAGCCAGCCTCATCTTCCTCCCTGGGAGGAGCCGGTGAATTGGAACCACCAACCTTGGGGTTAGCTCAGTGCGCGACATCTGGGCTCCTTTGTCCAGGGAGTCTTTATACCAAATGATCTGCAGTAACCGTTCAGTCTGACAAGCTTGCGATCAATTATTTCAGGAGAGGAAGTCGTGTCGAAGCAAGCACATCCCGAGGATGGGTGTTTACCCGGCAGCGGTGAGACCCGGAAGCTCTCACGCCGGCTTCCCTGCCCACACTGCTGTTGTCATTGTTAGGGGACCTCGGTCCAACTCACAGCGACCCCGTGCCCAGCAGCAGGAAACACGTCCGGTGCTGCGCCATCCTCACAGTCATCCTGACGTTTGAGCCCGTGGGTGCAGCTCCTGCGTCCGTCCGTCCGTCCGTCCGTCCGTCCGTCTGTCTCACCGAGGGCCTTCCTTGTCCTTGCCGCCCCTCTGCTTCACCAAACATGCCGTCCTCCTCCAGCGACTGCTTTCTCCTGATGACGCGTCCGAAGTCCGCGGGATGGCCTTGCCATCCGCGCCGCTAAGCAGCGCTCTGGCTGTGCTTGCTCCATGTCACCCACTGCCCAGACCACACCTGGACCACACACACTGGGCTCCCTTCAGAATGGCAGCCACCCAGGGCGGTGTAATAAAGCACGGAGATGGCTGACTCCCATCGGATGTTAACTGGCCAGTCTCTCGGTCGTGGAAAGGGACCACGGACGTGGAAAGGGACCACAGACGTGGAAAGGGACCACGGACGTGGAAAGGGACCACGGATGAGGAAAGGGACCACGGA